CCCCGCCGGAAGCGCCGACCCGGAAGGCGTTTAGAGGTCATGCCGGGCAAGATGGCGACGCCCAGGCGGTGAGGGGAGAGGGCGGCGGGAGCAGCGTTGCGGCAATGAGCGCCGCCCGCCGCTGCAGCCCGCCCCGGGCGCTGGCAGGTACCGCCGCCCGCGGGGCAGCGAGGCCCCGACGGGGTCTGGGGGTGGAGGGGAACCGCGTCCGGCGCTGGGAGAGTCCGGCGGGGCGGGGGGGGGCGGGCAGGGCCGGGCTGACCCCGGGGCTGTGGGGAGTCCCTGGGGCTGCTCTATATAGCGACGTACAGAGCCTCTCTGTATTCCCCTGTGTAGGGATGTAGGTGTCGTGTCACACAGGGGTGTCCTCTTGGTGCGTTTGACTTGGTGCTGCCCTGTGGCAGCTGCTTCCTTCCAGCGCTGCTTGTGCCGTTTTGCCAAGATAATTTTGTCGATAGCATGTAGAGATAGTAATGGAACAATAAACTAAAAATGCATCTCTGGGGAGCTGAGAGATTTGGAAGAAAAACCCCCAACTGTTCGGGCAAGCCTACGCTTTCAGTTCTCTCGCCTGGTGCCTGCAAACATGTTTCTCCCCACCTGAGCAGCCCTGGCTCCTATTTTTTGGGATATCTTGTGTCACAACCGACAATAGACACTGTACTCTGAATTAGAAGCAAACTCGGTGGCAGAGAAGGAACTGGAATCTAATGTTCTCCCCCCTTTTTTTTTTTAAATAGGATTATTTGTCTGGCATCTGAAGAACACTGGAATACGGCAGGTACCATGCCAGTTTGTGCATCTATGCCGTGTAGCCAATAACAGATTGATTACATTTCAGTACTTCAACTTTCTCAAACGAATGGTAAGTCAGGGAGTGTATTTATTGCATGTTTCTCATTCTGTAATTAATTTTGTCCCATGTGATGAGTCAAAATGGAGATTAGTTGATAAAAATAGTATTTTTCTTATCAGCCAAGCTCAGGCAATTCCAAGCGTCTCCATTCCTGCACTGCACCAGGGTTAAGCGCTTGGCATCTAAGACATCTGAGGTTGGAGGAAACCTGATGTAGCAAAGACAACGCTTTGTGCTGCTGTGTGTCCTCTACTTGACAGGGGGCTTTCTGTGCCTTTGAAGAAAGATGGTTATCTCCTGTTGAGAAACATGAAATGATTTCTAAAGTTATTTATATATAAAAATGCTAATAAGAAAGTCAGATCTTGGCTAGCAGTCATACAAGTGGTAGATGGAGCTTGCTGGTAGAGGTAGTGTGTTCTGACTAAAGAGTTAATCAGTTAATTTGAATCAAAACTCCTGAGCTCGTTAACTTCATGGGTTACATTCTGTAGTGTGCTGTTAGTTTTAGGTATTGAGAGAGCTGTAATTATAATTCAAACCCTTGGAATTGTATCTTCTTCTCTGAACGGTTGTATCACATGTAAAAGGATGGTAGTAAAAGACATTTTTCGCTCTTCCCCAAGTTGTGTCTTGTTCATTGTACTTTGGAGCTGTATTTATGAAATATGGATAAGACTAAGTTTTGCAGCTAATGACTGCTTTGACCACAAGGAGCATGTACATCTGTTGGTATTTTTTGAGCTTCAGTCCTGTATGAAGCAAGAGATGGGGGTCTCTTCCATGCTTCTGGGGATCACCAGCACTTCTCAAATTCTTTTTGTTTTGCTATTGATTTGATCTGTGTTCACATCACTCATTCAAAGTTTCATATCCCTCTTCTTCATTATAATTATTAATGTGTACTTTTAATCACATTTAGTTGAAAGCTCAGCCTTTTTATGCCTGTATAGAGTATTTTGGGAAAGAAAATAGAAAGACTAGAGAAGCTAAATGCTCTTTTTCTTATTCTGTGTTTTATTCTGTAAGAGTTCTAAAAGAGGGGAAACAACTGTCTCCTAACTTTCTGTTCAATATATGTTCATTTGAACTCCTGTTGAAAATTGCTGTCTAGTTAATTAGTATAAAGTTTGGCATAAATAGTAGTAGCCTAACGTGGGAGATGATTTTATATCATAGGAGGTAGATTGTATTTTCTGGCATTTTTCTGATTTTTTTTTCATATCTTAAAGGTGCAAAAAGTTTAGTGCTTATATTTGGAGACTGGAGTTGTTATGGGCATGTGTGTCCCTCTGTTTAAAGGCAAACTGATCCGTTGTAAATCAAACTATATCATCTAGTGGTTTTGAATATGAATAAAGTAGAGTTTGCTGTTGAAACTGTGGAGGAGGAAGTAGTTTTATCCAGAAGCAATTCTTCAAGCTGAAGTAAACATTGATGCAGTTGTGAGTTGAAAAGCTGTTTTTTTAATACCTTGTCCAACTTCAGAAACTTTTTTGGATGCGAAATAAGTGTTTGAAATTCAGGCTTAATCAGTCGTGTCATCATAGGAAGCAATGCTCCTAACAATAAGAATAATATAGCAATAATATTGATGTTGTTAATAACCTGAAATGGACAGAAATATCTTCTTAACTATTTGTCTTAACATTTCTCATTCTGTTTAGTATGTAACGCAATACAACAAAGACCTCAGCCAACGAGCCAAACCTAAGTCAGATTCAGTTGCATCTCCTTTTTGTGACCTTCAGCGATTGGATCAAGAAAAAAAGGTTATACACAAGATTAGACCAATTTCACCTGTTCATCAACCTTTGTCTAAGACATCAAACAGAAATGAGTTGAGAGAAATGAAGTCAGCTGCAGAAACTGAAGACTCAGTCACTCGAGTAAGAGCAGAATCCAAAGAAGACAGACAATGGAAAGAAATGAAGCTACGACTGGATGATTTGCCAGGAATTTTGGCACGCTTGTCCAAAATTAAGCTTACAGGTACTACTGGTCATTTTTTTTACTTCCATGCATCCTGTTTGATATCGGAGTTCTTTAGCATGTTACTGGTCCTGTGTAGGTTTTTGTGCGATAATTCCCGCCTTAATGACAGAAAGTACCTGGGTCAATTCCATTGAACGTGTGCAGGCAAAAAAATTGTTTTATGGAAGCATTTAATAGTTTTCCTATTAAATTTGTTTAAAAACAGTGAGGAGGAGCTTGCATCGTACCGTCAGCTAGCTCTTGGGAATCATAAGCAAGCAAGCGTTAGTACAAACAAAATAATATAAAACTGGGTTAGGAAGTGAAGTATTTAAAGTCGTCTTGCTTAAGTTTACCAATGTTCTGTCTTTCTTACTTACCTTTCACTTTAGTACTGCTTATTATGAAATTAGTATTAAAAGTACCAACAAAAGATAATCGGAATGATTTCCTATCTTACAAAGGAAAATGTTTGAGTGTGACCAACTACATTTTCTAAAATAAGGTATAATTTACTTTTCTAGTCAATCATAGTATTGTATCTTCAAACCAGCAGTTTGTTAAGCAATTGCCTTGTAGCCTAACTGCATTTTCCCTTGTTCTAATAGTAATACTTAACAACTATAAATTATTTCTTTGCCAATAGGTAGTGCTATATATACTTTTATGTCTAAGGAAACTCATGATCTGACCAAAGCCTTACATCTTGTTTGTATTGGGACCAAGAACAGAAGTACAATTTCTGAAGTCCCTACTGTGGTGCTCTCTCCAGTGGGTGAAATAAATTCTTGATAATAAAACTGTTGTTCTTTGCCATAACAATTTGTTATAATAAAAATCCTGAACTTGGTTTACTTCTTGAAACTTTTTGTCTTGCAATATACACGTTTTCGTTGTTTGTTTCTCCATGCAAAAATTGTACTGACCACATACAGTGTACAATGGTCATTTAAATTTTTCTCTAATAAAAAGCCTTATAGTTCTCGGTGCTGATGAGACATCTCATGTTTTGGACTTGGCAAAACTGATCTTGTCTGTGTGTCCAAATGTTCTCCCTAATTATTTTTAAAAACCCTCAAAGCATTTATTTTGTGCTGGTAAAGAGTTGGGTTAGTAGAGTTGAGGGAAGAAAAGCATAGATTTTGATACTTTACTATGTCACTTTTATGTATTAGCCTTGGTAATTTCAAATGTAGGTATATAAAACTCTTACTAGCGCATTCAGCAGTTACCAGGATTATTGTACTTCAGATTTGCAACAGCTTTGGGGCACATACAACCTCAAGTATTGCCTCTTCTTTCTTTCTGCATAATACAGGTCTTGCCTTTCTCTCCCCCATGCTGTTCAGTTTTAGTAATATTTTGTTCCTGTTGGGCTCACCATGGATAACTTGTAAGTGCTATATAAACAATTAGATCTTCTGGCATATTTTCAGTGAGGTGATTTTATTTAAGTGGCTCTTTTATGTGAACTTGAAAGCTGTGCTAGTTATTGAAGTAGAATTAAATTTAAAAAATCTGAATAGATCCAGAAATGAAAAGGTAAAGTGGCATAATTATGTGACCAGAGAGGGAGAAAAGGAACTGTTGTTTTAAGCACTTGAAATGTACGTTCGTATGTTTGCTGATATTCCTTATGGGTAAGCTCAGTGTTAGTACCACATCTGCGTATCACTGGTGCTCCTCAAAATAGGAGTTTCAAAAACTGCAGCAAGATGGAAGAGTGTCTTTTTCTGGAGAAAATAATTTTATGTGATACTTTTTATGTGGCCTCAGTGTTGCCGTGAAACATTTCAACAGTTTCTAGTAGGCTCTTTTTTAAACGCAAAAGGCAATATTGACAGGCAAGCAAGTACCACTCTGGTTTTAAAATAGGGTGTTACTTGAAACCTGTAGAAGGCAAAGGTTACAGAATTTCATTCCCTTCAGGACTGTTGTTTTGTATGAGTCTCCGTTTTGAGATGTGCTGTTCTTGATCCAAGGTAAGCGTAGTAAAACTTTGTACCTGTTGAGAAGGTATATAGAGATATAGAAAAAACCTTAACCTCTCTTCTTGTTGTGATCTTTATGTATTTGATGGGGAAAATGATCTGGGGTGGGGAGATTTTTTTGGAAGTAGAAAATGTAAAAGAAGTTGGATTAAGGGGGTTTGTAGGAAGGGAGTTCTGTTGTTGGTCTTTATTGGTCGTAGGATAGCGTAGGAGACGAGCAGGAAAAGTACTGGGTGTAGTGTGCGGAGCAATGAAACAGAATTAGCTTTCTTTCCAACTTGTGTAATCATTTAGACAAATTATATATTCTGTAAAGAATATGGTGGTGCAGTTCTTTGATTATTTTTTTTTCTTTTTTAAAGAAAAATAAATTCTCTGAGGTCAGTTTTTAAGTTACAAATGACACACAACTCAATTCCTTTCACCCATGAAGTTCTGATAGATCTCATATCCTGTGTGGTTTTTTTGGCAGACTCTTTATTTATACTTTTTAGAGTATGAAATAACAAAAAAACAAACTCTGCATTATGCTAAAAATGGGACTTCCTTATGCCCTTTTCTTTTCCCGCTGCTGAAGTAAAGAGAATGTTTGTTTGTATTCTGAACTGTAATTCACCTTTGAAAGGAAATGAGTTTAGCTATTACCATACCCTCCTGCTTCATGTAAACTGCAGCTCTTGTGACACGGCCATTAGAAGCTCTGCCTTACCAACAGGAAAAGATTTTTGTTTATATTCTTTTGCCGTAGAAAACAATTAGGGAACTTTTAATTACTTGTCGCATAATCTACCTTTTTGTGTTCAGTTTCCATCCTTTCCCTTCTCTGTGGTGTTCTCTGTTGGCTGCTGTCTGAACAGCTGTATTGTAGCACCCAGGCACATGGAAAGCTAATGCATCTCTCTGATTAAATTTTCAGAATTATAAATGTCATTGTTTTCAACTTTAGGCTAAAGTTCATGTGTAGCTGAAAATAGGAAAGAGAGATGTGAAGGTATGGTAATAGGAGGAAATTCTAATTTAGAATGCAAACACATTAAGAATTTCAGGTTGTCTCATCTTCTTAAATTTAACTTCAAGTTTATATTTAAGTGATGTTTTCCCCAGTGGTCACAGATGAAAACTAAGATGAGCTATATGCAAAAACACAGGAAAATTAAACTTCAATTTTTAATTTGGGGGAAGCGTGATGAAGGCACAATATGAAAAATGCTGAGTGTTCTCATTAGATATTTCTCTATAGTTTGGGAACATTTTGTCATTGTTGCTTCTGTAGAAAGGATGTCTTGCATGTTGGTCTTTTGGTGAGGACAACCAGGTGGATGTGTAGCACCTGTCTGAGAATTGGATGTATCAACATGGGTCAGATGCAAACTGCTAATTTCTGAACAGCTGTAGAATTTTTAATCTAACTTGTAAGCCTGTTGAGGAAGGGGCTGTGTCTTTAGCATATCTCTGTCTCTGCTGCGCCTGGAAGAGTTGAGTCCTGACTCCAGGCTACTGTAACATGGACGTTCTTCAGAAAGTCATACTAAAGCCCATATATCTCAAACATTTATCTACCTTTCCTTTGTCTTGTGTTTTAATGTTTTTGTGTTAATATTTTTATTTGTGTTCACAAGCATATTAATTTGTCTAAACATTATTTTTTATTCACAGTTGGGTATTAATGGTGGTTGTTTACCCAGAGATCAAATGCAAAGTCACGGTCTCTCTCCCAAAGTCTTTATATTCTTTTACGGCATCTCATTGCAAAGCACTTTTACCTTCCAATTCTTAAAAAGTGTTTTAGAGTTTTGGTATCATTTTCTTCAAAGTACATTTTAATAATCAGTCCATTAAAGCATGATGATTGCTTTTCTGTTCTGATTACTGAAGACTTGTTTCAGATCTCACCAGAGCGGGTTCTGTACTTGGCATCTTGCTTTGGTTCAGTGTGTGCAGTATCCATGCAGAATCATGGGGATCAAAAAGGGACACGTCAGGAAGTCATCTAATCTATTTTCCCTCAAGGCAGGATCACCTTTAGGTATATCGTTCCTGACTTGACATTGGTTTGTCCATTCTTAAAACCAACCAGGGAATATACAGCTTCCCTGAGCAGTGTGCAGCAGTGTGTTACTGCTCTTACTGCTGAAAAGTGGCTCTGTGTGTCTAACAGAGACCCTCCTTTGCTTCACTTTAAGTGTGTTACTGTTTCTCCAAACACTAAGAAATCTGGAAACTTTCTCAAAGTAACCTTATGTTTTGCTGTCTTTCTTTCATTGCGGATGTGAGGTGGTGTTTGCTTATATCTGGCTCTCGAAGAGTTCAACCCAGTATCCTATTAACATTATGTAAGAAGAGTTGAGAGTAAATGACCTCTGCTTTTGTCATGGTCTATACCTTAGAGCTAAAATAGGCCAGCCTGAGGTGTTTACATGTCTGTAAATCTGGAGTAATTAGTCATTTTTAATAGAGTCATTCCGGGGTTTACCGTGGTCAGATCAGAATCAAACCTATTGTGCTTTTTCCTCATCAGAGTGTAATGTGCATGTTATGGACAGAATCACAAGACTGATATAATCAGTTCTCTGAGGAAGCCCATAAATTTGTTTGATGTTTGTTTTTAAGGTAAAGATTTACATAACATTTTGATGCCATCTGATCATTAATAGCTCCTTCCACAGGAAGGAGGATGTGGACATTCTCAATTGGGTGCCAAAATTCTTCTGTCTTCCAAGACAGACTTGGAAGCATCTTTAGCTTTAGTTTTCAAATCTTTTTTTTAAAATATGTCAGTCTTTGCACAGAGAAAACATTTCATAAATTGAAATGGGAGGTTCTGGCTTGACATAAGGAAGAAAATGTTTCGCCATGAGGACAGTCAAACTTTGGAGCAGGTTGCCCGGAGATGATGTTAAATTTCCATCCTTGGAGATGACAAAGCCCTAAGGGACCTGGCCTGAATTCAGTGTTGACCCTGCTTTGAGCAGGAGGTTGGACTTTATGATCGCTTGAGATCCCTTCCAATCTGAATTACTCTGTGTTGTTGCTAGACAATGTTAGACAAAAACCTAGGAGTAAAGACTACCAGCTACAAAATTGTGCATGGTTTCTAAGTCACGGACTTACTGGCTTACATTTAAGATTTGCAAACTGGACAAATTTGATAATTTATGAGCATTTTCAGTTTCGGAGACTAAACTAACATGTTTTTTCATATATCCCCTTTTAAGAAAATAATCCTGTCTTGTTTACTAGAAAACAGCTGGAATTTATTGGATGTATTGCTTACATATGAATTTGTGTTTGTGCATTAGTGATCCTCTAGCACAAAGGTGTTGAACTGGAAATCAGAAGCCTGAGACATTTGCTACTGACTTATGATGTGGTCATGAACATGCTGCTTCATCTCTATGTCTGTTGTGTATTTGTAAAATGAAGATGATGAATAACCATCTTTGCATAACGACTCTTGAGTGTTACCAAACCTCTGTGTAATGGAGCAACAATGACTAAATAAGGTGCCTATGTTGTGTTTGTAGGCTAAAAATCTGGTAAGAGCCGCTCTAGTAAAAAAAATCTATTTGCTTTGGTGGACTTCAGTACATTTCCACTTTGTTCTGGAATAATGGCATTTATTATGGCATTTATTCTTTAAATGGTAGCTTTAATATAGCCAGAAACTTTGACAAAGATTTATCGGTATATATTGTTTAGATTATTACTGGTCTACACTTATTCTCAGTTCTAAATATGTTTCATATGCCTGTCAAAGTAGTTCTCATTTTGTGATTATTAAAACAGTAACTATTATCCTATCAAAGAAACAAAGCTTAATAGTGGTAGCTTTCTGGCAATTTGCTTTCCATGCTACAAGGAAAAGTAATGAAATAAAAATAAACTATCATTACAGTTTATTTTTTGCAAAGCATTTTAAAGTTGTTCGATGGTAAAAAGAGATTATCTGCTCTGTTTGTAATATTGCACTTGAATTTTATGTGATATGATGCAAAGACTTGTTTCAAAGTATTGTCCCACATTTAAGTTTCTTTCAGGAGCTTGGTGTGCAGGTTATCATTTACAACAAAACTTAGATATGCCTATACCCAAACAAATCTAAATTTATGAAAGAAACATTGTTCAGTTGTACAGCACTAATACTGATGCTACCTTTAGCTTTCCAGAAACCAAAGTGTGAAACTATGGAAGGAAAACTCCATCAGCTTTTGGAAAGCTAGTTTCCTTTAAAGAATATATAAACATTTGTAGTAAAACAGTGAAATTGTTTCTTAAATTAAAGTAGGCATGTATTTGCTTTTGTTCTTCCATATGTACAGATACATCATCAGTACAGGAGTAGAAGGGAAATCTAAAGCTGAATTGGTTTGCTTTGGCTGTCTACACTTTTATTTTGGCTTGGCTATTTTTTAACAGGAGGTAAACAAAATATGGCATAGTGATTCACATGCTATAAATACAAATACAGGGTTTTATAAAGGCAGATCACGTTACAATGAAGCTGAAGAGGAATGTAAAGAATACACTGTAGACTTTTGGAATGTGTTTTTATGCTAGAAACATTATAATTCACTCTTTTTGTCACCAATCCATTAGCATTTTCTTTTTCATTTATATTGAAATGGGAGACAAATGTCCCCTGTTAATTTTTGTTAAAGCTGAAGATGTTTAAAAGACTGAAAATTAGATTTAGGCTGAGATCATAAGTTTAAATCCTGGCTTCTTTTTGAAGAGCATATATAATGCCAACTCTCATCAACAAATCTTGAAAGGATCAATTCCATCTATTATGCAATAAAGTGAAGTTAATTTGGCCCCTAAAGCACTAAACTAACAGGGATTAAAAAACAAACAGAGTCAATGACCTCATTCCCTTGATGTGATCTCAATTAAATATACTTTTCCTCCATGAGGAAAGTAGAAGAGTAAATTATTGCTTCCACAGTAAAAGAAAATAAACTTCCCAATCCAAAGGGAACATTTTCTTATTTACTCTTAACGTGTTGCATTTGAATTGCTGGGTGATGAGACAAGCAGGGAGTGCCTTGTGTTCAGAGAACTGCCCAAAAATAACTGTTTCAGTGGGATAAGTGAGAGGATGTACTACACCTTTTTTAATGAGATCCTGATAAGTCACACTGAAATGACTGGCTGAAATTAATCTGGAGAAATCAATGGGGACTTTAATTAGTGCTGTAGCTGTACAGTATTAGAATTTCTTTAAGGTCAGTGTAATCGTAATGTTACGCTGACTGTTTGCCAATCTGCTCCACCTTTCTTCTTCAGTAAATGAGTTGGTGTTTTCCCATAATAAATTGGTGTAAAGTGCTTTCTAAGATAAGTTTTAATTAAATTCTTGTCTAGAGTGAACATGTGATTTATTATGCAAAAAAAGAATGCAATCACTCTTAGAAATGCAAACGCCACTGTTTCGCTGTCATCTTCAGTGTATTTTTTAACTATCAGTTGTAAACCAATGCATTTCATATTTTCTTGTGCGCTCTGCTAAGTAGAATCCAAGAGTTTTGAAACCGAGATGCTATTGTATTTATTTAATAAATGGGGTCCAGTCTTTCAGAAGTAATCAGTACCTGCATGTCCGTTAGTCTGTCCAGTGGGGTTACAGAATCTGTGGCTGTTTCACCGCTTCTCAGAAGGGTAAGGCTCCATTGTCGATTCATCGTATTTTAGAAGTAGCTGAAGGGGCCGCAGTGAGAGCCAGGTGCTGTCTTGGGGAATCAAAGCCCCGGGACTTACCTGGGTATCGGGCAGAGACCCTGATGCAGCACTCTCGCAGCCAGCCTGTGCGACAGCCATCTGTACAACACCCTGTGAATCCATAACAAGGCTAAATAATTAATGTTTATAACAATATTATGTATATTATTATAATAATATTCAGCTGCCAATGGATTTTAATACTTAGAGAAAAGTTTTGATGAGGAGCAAGTTTTCTTCAGTGTCTTTTTAGGATTAAATCCTAAGGTTCTTATGCAGGCACAGATCTTAAAATTACTACTTTGCATGTGCATCCTTGCTAGCAGGTCTCTGCCATGACATTTAGTTTTTCATCTCAAGTAACGCTGCTTAGTAGATGATCGCGGTATTTTCAGTCAGCAAAGGTTATTTATTCGTCATTTCACTTCAGACAAACAGGAGACTTTGTAGGAATCAGGAAGATAAGAACATTTTGATGCTTTGATTTGAGCTAGCTGAAGTCTGGAACATGTAATTACATGCAGAATATAATTTAAATACTTTCTGTTTAATAACTATTAATTTCAGATTGTAAGGTTCAAGGTCATGAGCAAGATATTCAGTAAGTGTGCTGACTTGTATAAAGTTTTTCATGTCATACTATTTCTTGCCACAAGTGACGTTTGTAAGACCTATTATTTGGGTAATTACAATATTAGGATTGAGACTTAGGTAACTTTCATTTTAAGGATGTGATTTGCAGTACTGTACTAAAGTTATAATTTTGGATGACAAAACTGAAATGGATTTTTATTAATCCACTCAAATTTTGAGGCCTTTGAGAGTTGCTGGGTCCATGTGATGATGTGATTGTAACTTCTGCCTGAAGTGGGAATGTCAGATGGGAACAGTGTGGGCAGATACTTGTACAGTGAAATTACTGGCTTCACCAGCTGTAGCCTACGTGCCCTGAGTCTCTTTTTGACTATCTGCACTGCTTAAGTTCCTGCTATAATTTGATATCGTGCATATCTCTCAGTTCAGGATTTTTCTTACTGTTTTTCTTCCATGTTAGACTTTGCAATGGCATGTGAGTTACTGGAATGAACGTGTCTCCTGTACATGTTGTGTGAGACAGTTTGATCCTGTAGCAAATCCATAAAATAGGGAATACAGAGGCATAAGTTTTATTCTCGCCTCTTCTAGTCATGTGCTGACGCTTCTGGGTTTCTCATTTCATCCCTGACAGTTCTCCTTCTCATTTTTGACTTTTTTATGTAGGGTGTTAGTATTAATTGTACGCAGTTCCTGGAGCTACTTTCATGCATAAAAATAGCAAAAAGTTAATCTGCACAAGGGTCCTTACAGGGTTTAAAAACCTTAGCTCTGTGGTGTGTACAGAGGAGGTGGTTTCTTGTTGATGCTTTGAACTGTGCTCTCGCTTGTGTTGCAGCTCTGGTTGTAAGCACCGCGTCAGCTGGCTTTGCCATGGCCCCGGTCCCTTTTGACCCGACGTGTTTCCTACTCGCCTCCCTTGGAACTGGACTGGCGTCCTGTGCTGCCAACTCCATCAATCAGGTCAGTCCATCTCTTCATCTGTACCGCAAACTGGTGTCGTCCTGGCTTCTGAAATGCTGCCAAGGATTGTAAATGGATGGCTGGGAGTGCTGTGCCTTCAGCTGCCATGCGAGCTCTGGGCCACTAAAACTGACACTGCAAAAGGAACATATGTCTAAGAATTAAAGTATAGTTGCTAGGCATTATGTGTTTATTCAGAATGGAGTTGATGAGGTTTTAAGCCTCCCAATAATAATGTTTATCTTGATAATACTAAGCCTGGGTCACTGAAGATGACATGGGAAGAACTGTGTAACGAATATCAGAATAGCCATCAGGGCGCCAGTCTTATGGGCCTGGTTCTTTGGTTGTGTTACTGTATGACCTTGTCAGATCTGTCTAAAGAATGGCTCAGAGCACCTTTGTAACTGTCTGTAGTGGGACTTCAGTGGGGTTTGTGTGTTTCTGTTCAGGCTGGAATCAGGGTATCTCCTGTGCATCTACAAAACGTACTGAAAATCTCTGTCGTGTGGTAGCTGTTTCATGCTGGAGATCTTCCAGGAGCCTGAACTTGAGCTTCCTTGCATGTGTGAACATGCCTGTGGAGCCTGATGCTGATCTCTCGGCTCTCCAGCAATCCAGCTGTGAAGCAAAGTTGCTGTTAGGCTCTTCCTAAGTCCCAAAGGAGAGCCTAACAAGTGAACAGGTAACAACACTTGTGGTGTTGAATGGAGTTACAAAGCGTAGTAGCCACAGTCACTTTCAGCTGTAAATATGGCCTGGAAAAAGAAGTGGGAGTAGCAGTGCCACCTTTGATAGCACGTTATGGTTTCAGCAGTCGCTTGGGAGATGGGGGAGGGTGAGTCCTGGGACCCTGCTAATGGAACAGGGCATGGAGGTTTCCTGTGATCTACATCCTGAAGTCACCTTGACTGAGTTGGGCTCTTTGATGTTTACACCTTGCAACACCTCAGTTGTAGGCACCCGATGTGCTTTTTGAGATTGCACCCATAAACACACTTCTTGCTCAGACTGAAGTAAATACAGGTTTTACTGTTTGTTTGCACTGAGCTTAAAGTTGGGGTAGGCAGCTAACGTTGTGTCTGTTTTCTCTGCATGATTTTTAGTTGCTTGGAAAAATGGAGGTAGCTTACCTAACTTGAAAACACTTAGGTAGCCTTGAAAAATAATTTTAAGTCACACTGTTTTCTGAAGTATGCATTTGGTTATCGTGAACATGTTTTTCACATAAAGTCTGGGTAGAAAAGCTGTCATAACTAAGGTGAAGCTTTCTTGGTTTTGATACTATTTGAGAGGTACACTGTTTTCCTTCCTTTTTTCCTTTACTACAGTTTTTTAATATTAAAAATTCACTTTGTGATTTATCAGTCCTTTGAAATATTTTCTGTCATATTTACTTTCACCTTTGATGTGGATACTACTGGACTAAGAGGAGGATTAATTATTGCTTGTTTAGAGACTCCTGTGCAACTTGTCTTTCTCGAGATTTTGATAGATCTTCCTAGAGATGATATTCATGCACAAATAACTGGTTTTCTTTGTCTTCAGTTTCCATGTATTGCTCAGTGTTGTATTTCTTCTCAAAAGTAGCCACTTTTAAAAATCTTGGTTTTTTGAAATCTTGAGATACATGGGAGTACCAGGAATCCTGTGCCATAATTTGGAGTTTGACACTTTTGAGGCTGCTGGGATGGAAAAGGAAAGTTAGGAGTGCAAGAACTTTGTGCTTGGACTCATAATTCACTATTTACTCACTGCTATCTCACCACAGGAACAGCTGTTAATATGCCCTTAAATAGAGAAGGTTACTCAAGCCTCACAAAGTATAAAACTGTCTTTCACAATCTCAGCTGAATGCTTTAAGTTTGCACACTTGCTTGTTTTGAGCCACTTGCCTATGTAGACAGACCTTCAAGGCAACCACTCTTATTAAGGAAAATAAAGAACCGGAGTTGGTAACAAAGCAAAAGAGCAGAGCTGTGGTCTATGACCTTGTTTATCAATGGATCCTTTCAGTCAACAAGTGTCCTTTTCCTGGTGTTGCTGTTGGTGCAGTGTCTGAATTGGCTGTGAATTTAATTTTCAGTAAATACTGTAAGCTTGGGTATCCATCTCGACCTTTGGGAAGGAGCACATTTGACTTGGAACTTCCTTTATTGCTACATTGCTCTGTCCATTGCTCCCCATACGCATCCTCTTCTCTGGCAGCTCATGACTCATGTTTCCCTTGTTGCTCCTTGCTATCCCTTAAGGACCTTTTTATATGATAACCGTCTTTCCGCTTCCCATATTGCTATAAATCTGTACATCTTTAAGGGCAACTCGTCCTTCCCACTCCTCATCTCCCTGATAAATCTGTGTTCACAATTTACAGTCCTCAAATATGTCGTGGGAAGGTAAAGTGTCGATTGCATAAGATTCCTCCCCGTGATTTAGGACAGGATGTGAGGAGTCTGGTCCTGTGAAAATGTAATAGAGATTATGTAATATTTGTGGAAGTATTGATACAAACTTGTAACTGTTCAAATTCTGTGGTTTGGGGTTTTTTTCCTTCTCCGACCACTTCATTTTAGCAATCTAGTAGGAGCTGAGGCCAGTTTACCCCCATTGAATTAAGCTGAATTAACTATTTAAGTTGAATTAACTACTGGGGAGGGAGCCAGGTCTATGCTAAGTATCGCACAGAGACCAAGAAGTCATGTTTTGTTTCTTTATGAAGTTGGTCTAAAATAATCTTTTAATTATCCCTTGCTCTCTCGATTTCAGATGGCTGTATGTCATACTTTCAACATTTTTTTCCTAACTGCAAGAGCTAGAAAGTTACAAAAATTTGCCAGAGTGGAGGTTCTTGCCCCACTTTCACTGTCCTTAACAAGAAACCAATAATAAGAAAATGATGAGAGTTGGCAACATTGTATTTTTCCATTGTTTATGGAAGTACAGTCTGGTTATTTATCAACCAAAGGCATGTGTTTACAAACAAGTTTCACAACCCATAAATTCTAAATTCTAGCTGTACTTTCCGATGCAAGTTGAAATAATGTATTTTTATGACAATTCTGTGAAATCGGATAATTATTTTTAAGACACTGATGACTTTTTCACTGTCATTTTGCAAAAAAAAAAATAATAATGTTGTGTTTGAAAGTACAGAGATGAAAAGTGCTTGAGCATGGGCTTGCATTAGGGTGAAACGTGGTGGCTGTTCTACAGCAAGGTCATTCTGGAAACGTTTGTGTAGAAAATGTCAAGAGAAGTATCTTGGAATAATTTATGTTAGACAGTAGTTTGATAGAAACAGAATCTCTCAGGCTGGTGGAAAATGTTATGAATTCTGAGGATCTGGATAAATACCAGAGGGTCCCTGGGTTTTCCTGTAGAGTGTGTTGGGTCTGTGGGCTATAAGGGAGTAAACTCCTGCTGGAAGGTGCCAAAGAAAAGATAGTGGTTTATTTCTCTGGTCCTCTACCAGCAGTTCTGCCTCTGCCTCGCTCCTTCGTATCACAATACTTCAGAGTTGTACTTCGCACCTAATCTAGCATTTTAGTGGCATGCTAATCCAGCAGTCCCTGGTTCTCTTCCACATCATGCAACACTGCGTTATATCCTTCAGCCCTTCAGTATTGTACTACAACATGTCACCACTTCTCAGTCCCACCTGCTAAAACTGCTTTCCTCTTTTTTCTCTTTTTCTAATGGCACTTTTTTTTTTCCATCACTGAAGTAACTTAAAATTATTTTGGACAGGTGTTCTTTATTGGTGTTCTATCTTTTCAAAATAATAACTATTTTACAGTGTTTTTTAATTAAAAAAAAAAAATCACTTAATGTGTATACCAAGGAATAGACTGAGACTCATTTTTACTGTCACATTACTAAGCTAGCCAAAACCACTGGAAAATCTCATTGTAAGTGACTGGTTTTATTAATTGCAGTTATGGAAATGGAAATATGTTCTGCGGTTTCATCTTGTAAACACTGCATGTTAATCTTGAATAAACAAGTAATTATTCTTAGCATATCACTTTTTTATACTGTCTGCTTTCCTGACTCCTTCAGTGTTGTGTATTGGTATGGATACTCAAGAAGGTATTTTAACTTAGTGTTGTTCCTTACAAGTGACAAAAAAGGATAATCAAAACATTGGTTTTCTGATTGGTGAAGACCAATTCTGTAACTTTTTTTACCCATTCTATACTCATGCTGTCATAGAAATGGTATGGGAGAAAATGATATTAAGTTAGTTGATAATCTCTTTCTTTTTCATAGCTCTGGTTTTTGATGATTTTTGAAAGCTGACTCAAGTTTCAAGGAGTAGAGTCTTACATTTATATTATGGAGAAAACATGCCATTTTTGAGACTTCTAAGATACTAGCCTCTGATTTATGGAGAAAGAGATAAAACATGAAGAGATGTTTACAACACAATACACGGCATTAAAATGTTAAAGGAATCACATGCACATTTTATATGTCAAGTACATTTTTCTGTAACTGCAGCATGGTTAAAAAGTGGGAGAGAGCTATAAAGATGAAAGCAGGATGTTTAAAATGGTTTGAATTTAGTAACTGAGAGGTACAATGATGTGGTTGGATTTGACTGATGATACCTTGAAAAGGAGGCAGAATGGACTGAGTATCTTAGCTGAAGTTAGAGAGCTGAAAATAAGACATATAGTAAATATGTTTACCAGAATGAGAGAACAAATGTAAGACCAGTTAACATCCCTGTCCCTTCAGGGTCTGATCTGATGGCTGCATTTTGCTCTTAATGTTATTCTCTCTTGACAGTGATGGTCTCTTAGAAGTGTAGCTGTAATGGGAAGGATGGGCTTGGTGTTAAAATAATGGAGTGAAATTCGGGATCTGAGTTCAGTTGCCAGCCCGTTAACCCTGTGTGTGATCTTTTGCATTAAGACAAACTGTGATGGTCATTTGGAAACTGCAGTGATGGGCACCAGGCTAAATAAAGTCAAAATAGAGCAGCCTCTCCTACAGTT